GGAGTAGGGGCCTGTCCCGGCACAGTCCTGAGTTGGATTCGGCCTTACTCAACAGTGAGCAGCAAGGTCCAGGGGTTGTGGCTTCTCCAGGTGTCCCCTCTCAGGTCTGGGATCCCCTAGCCTCCTTGGGGTAGAGGCACAGTGTGGGGGGATGCTGGGTTCACCTCCCTATAGGGCCTATGCCTGGCGGGAAAGGGCCAAGCCACTTACCCGCACCCTGGCTGTGGTGGGGAGTGGGGACTTGTCCTCTTGGCTCTCCATCCCGTCCAGGTGGGAGGGCAGGTGCGCTGCCTCTCGGAGGTTGCCTGAGCCCTGTCCTGTGCTGGAGGCCTGCAGGACCCGCTCGGCCCCGGAGCCTGCTGCTCCTCTGACCTTTCTGCCTTCTGGACTCTGCCTGCTCTTGCAGCAGCTCCTTATCCTTCCGTGCATTGATAAGATGCTAAGACTTTTGTTGGTGCTTGGCCAGCACGGTTCACACAAGGCCAGGATCTCAGCTCGGTGTCCACTTAGCCCCCAGCCTGGGGCCTCCTGGTGCACCCAGGAGAAAACCACTGCCAAACACCAATCCCCAGAAGTGAGCAGTTTGGGAAACTGAGTCAGGCTTGGACTGGGAGGTTTCTCCTGTGTGGTTTGTGACTCCTCGGCTGCACCAGGCGCATTATAGCTGCAAACACACCCGACTCTTTCCATCACGTTTGACTCAGCCAGATCAGTCTGTGAAACATGCCATGGGTGCTTCTTTCAGAATCACCTTCAGGGTGTTCACAAAGCCAAGACATCACTGGGTAGGTGGTGGTAGATTGTGTTCGGAACCCCAGGTTATCCTTGGCAAGAATGGTTAGAACTTCCAGGAACATGGAAGATCAGGCTCGTATTTCCTTGTTTTGGGATATGCTTATTTACTCATTGGAAAGTCAAGGTGTGTGCGTGTGTAATCTTCCATCCTCTGGTCCACTCCTTAAATGCCCACAACAACATCTGGAACTATGCCAGACTGAAGCCAAGAGCCTGGCACTCATCCAGGATCTCCCACGTGGGTGGTAAGAGCCCAGCTACTTGGTCGTCACCTACTGTCTCCCAGGTGCCCATCAGCAGGAAGCTGGATCAGAAGTGGAGCTTGGACTCACGCCCAGACACTCTAGTACAGTATGGAGACTCCCGAGTGGTGTCTCAACTGCCATATCAAATACTCACCGTATATATATATATATTTTAAAGATTTATTTTTATTATTATTTTTTTATTGGAAAGACGGATATACAGAGAGGAGAGACAGAGAGGAAGATCTTCCATCCGCTGATTCACTCCCCAAGTGAGCGCAACGGCCAATGCTATGCCGATCCGAAGCCAAGAGCCTCTTCCCACGCGGCTGCAGGTTCCCAAGGCTTTGGGCCCTCCTTGACTGCTTTCCCAGGCCACAGGCAGGGAGCTGGAAGGGAAGCGGGGCCGCCGGGATAGAACCGGCGCCCATATGGGATCCCAGGCGTGCAAGGCGAGGACCTTAACCACTTGCGCCGCCGCGCCGGGCCCATCACCGTATATATTTTTTAAATGTGCATGTGTGTTTGGTTTATCTGAGAGGCAGAGCAAGAGACAGACAGACCGTCCTCACTCAGTGGTTCACTCAGATGGCTCAAAGCCTGGAGCCAGGAAGCCAGTGACCTTGTGGGTGACCTCGTGAGCTGCCATCATTGCCCCCAGAGTACACACGCATAGCAGGAAGTCCACCCAGGAGCAGAGCCAGAACGCATAGCAGGAAGTTCACCCAGGAGCAGAGCCAGAATGCAAAGCCAGACACTCCAATATGCATGGAGCTGTCCTAACATGGGGCTTAGCTGTCAGGCCAAGGCCCACTGCTCCAGATTGATGTGCAATGGCCAGAAGTCCTAGAGTCCGCTCCAGGAGGCTCAGTCAGTGCAGCCTGTTGAGACATACTGACTGCAACACCAGCACATCCTCAGGCTGTGTTTCAGACCAGACGGTGTGGCCAGAGTAGGAACCACAGCTGGATTTCCTCCTGCGGTGCTGGGTTCTCACTCCCCCTTCAAGGAGGCAAAAGGCCTGTGTGCTAGTGGACTCCCTGGCTAGGCTGCCAGATCCTTGCAAATGGAAGACGCCCTTCATGTGTCACTGTGAGTCTCAGGGTTGAGCAGAACAGAAGAGGAAACACTGCTGGTAAGAGACCCAGGTCTTGGGGCTGGCGTTGCGGAGCAGACACTGTGGCGGGTGCTTGCATCCCATAAGCTTGCCAGTTCACAGCCATAGACCTCCCTGGACCAGGCTGCTGTACCTGTTGGCACATGTGCCAGGGCTGGGGGCGAACCAGGCCAGGGGCCTACAGAGCTGGAGCACTCGGGCAGGCCCAGCACCCACTGGTGTTGGGGTACACTGAAGGCTTTTGGGGTCAGCAAACAGCTTGTGCTTCCATGGGCTGCTGGCCTCAGACACATCAGGGTCTCTAGAACCCATGGGTACATGATCCGACCTTGGGGCACACACTGCATGATTGGACCAATTTCATTGCTGACCCCTGTGCGAATAAGCCAATAACCTCTCAGATAAATGATGATAATGTGGGGACACAGCCATTGGCCCTGGCTGGATATTCCCTAGCTCGTGAGAGAAATCCATTAGATGAGGTAGAGATTTCCAAAGCCGGGATGGCCAAGCACTACAGCCCTGACCAGCAGGAAGTAACTACAGAAGATGTGATGACTCTGTACCCTTCAGCAAGCTGTAAGATTACAGGGCAGAAATCTCCGAGGGAGGAATGGAATGGGACAAGCTCATACGCGGCCTGGGCGCTCTCTTTCTCCTTCCACAGACACAGAATGGAAGGCAGGAATACTTCCACCTGCCACCTTTCCTCTCCTAGCCCACTCCATCCCTGAGCACGTTCCGTGTGTCTGACCTCCTCACCTTTATAATAAACTTTAAAAAAAGAAAAACGATTGCTGGTTCAAGTCCTGGCTATTCCACTTCTGAACCAGCTCTCTGCTGATGTCACTGGGAAAGCACTGGAAAATGGCGCAAATTGTTGGGCTCCTGCGTGGAGTTCCAAGGCCCTGCACCCAGAGGGAATTCCAAGCTTCTGGCTTCAGCCTGACTTAACCTTGGCTGTTGTGGCCATTTGGGGAGTGAACCAGCAGGTGGAAAATCTCCTCTCAACCTCTCTATAACTCTTTCAAATAAATAAGTGAATCCTATTAAAAATAAAGATTGGAGATAGCATAATTCTGTCCACCAACATTTTAAGCTGGAACTTCCAACCCCATCCCATGAATCTGTCCAGAAGAGGAACAGCCTGGGGTTGACTCCCCACTCCCAGGCTGGGGGGCTCCCTTGGTGGGGTTTCCGCTTAGTCTCTTCCACTGCAAGGCCCGAAATAGTCTGATGACATCCTTCCAGGATAATAAAATTTCCTTTAAAAAAATATCTTTTTCTAATTTGATTGTAGATGAGAGTCAATGTTTTATAAAATCCTTCTTTACAAAATAAACAGAGAGCCTCAATCCTAGTTCCTCAAATACCGCCCTGTGAGACTGCTGGGCGAACCCACCTCCTATCCCCACTGCCTGATTCAGGGCAGGGAGACATCCCATTGGGTCTGGCAGCTCTGTTCCTTCCATGCCTGTCATCATCCTTCATAACTCACCCTACCCAGCCTCACGCATTTGAGGACTGTTGCGGCCACTCCAGTGAACACCTCCGTGGGGCTGAGGTCAGGGACTCTCCTCTGCCTTCGCTCACTGTGGACTGCCCTACCCTGGAACCCATTCCCAAGGACTTCCCACCTCCCTGCCATGCCTTCTCTCTCCTTGGCTGTCACTTACTGCTGTGGATGGAACTGTCTGTCCATCAGTGATCAGATACTTATGGTGAAAGTCTGATGCGTGTACATGGCATACGCACTGTGACAGCACAGCCCTCGCCGTGGGGCGTGGCCACAGAAAGCCCAGGGCTTAATCTTTCTTTGCTGCCTCCGCTGCGGGGCTCACCCCTGGCGCCTGTCACCTCAGTGTTGGGTCCAGTGCTTTGTCCCTAGCCAGCTCTGGGCTCCTTGGACAGTGAACTGGCCAGAGCCTGCCACAGGTTGGGCTCCTGGCTGCCTGCCCAGCCTCTGTCCTTCAGGAAAAGACGCCATGCCCCAGCCCACCCCAAAGGCCCTCAGGTCCGCTCACATTCCTGCCTGCACTGGCCTCACACACAGCAGGGGGCAGCACAAGCCCCCTTGCTGTCTCAGGAGATCCTAAGCTTCATGCATTTGTCGGGGTCCTTTGCGTGACTGTGGCCTCTGTTGGGGCCCCTCGATTTTGACCTCGCATGTACGGAGCCTCCCCCAGTCAGAGATCTGTAGCTCACAGCTGTGTCCACCTGCTCTCCACTTTCATCCATCTGTCTTCAGACAACCAGCAAGGGCCTCATCCTCACCAGGTCCTTGGGGACAAAGCTGGCCGGGCCCCACGGGTGCTAACTCCCGAGGAGGCCTGACTCGGCAGGGTGGTCCCTCCCACAGCCTGCACCCCCAAAAGCAAGCAGCCTGTGTGGGAGGCAAGTGATCAGACCAGCTTTATTGGCTATAAAGTAACTCCGTCCTCCTTGAGGGGGACAATTAGGGATGGATCATTTGGACGTGGTTGCTGTTGCCCAGGGTTCCAGCTTTCTCTGCAGCACAGTTCTCGACACCTTACTTTGCAAGGCAGGTGCTCCTGGGCAAGGACCAGCTGAGGGGCTGCAACTGGCTCAGAGCCAACACTGAGGGGCCCCAGGGGCCAGGCTGAGCTCAGGAAGAGCTTGTCGCCTACTCGGAGTCATGTCTCTCACAAGAGCTGAGTCACCTGGAGCCCTGCGACAGCCTGCCCAGCAGGGCAGCGGCTGTCAGTCAGCTAAGGGCTGGAGACGGCCACCCTGGGATGGGGGTGGGAAGAGACAGCCGGGACTTCGGACAGTGTCCACACCTGATTGGCCCCACGCAACCGGAAGTCAGGAGAGAAGGCTGAGGGAAAGCTCCACTTGGTGTGCCACGGGCCTCTCTCCGGGAGGCTACTCAGAAACTGGAAGAGACTGCAAGAGACTCCTCCTTCTGGGGAGAGACCTCTGAGACCTTGTTCATCTTGTTGAATGTCTGGCTGATCTCGATGAAGCTCCTGCCTTTGGTCTCGGGGACGATCATGAAGGTGTAGATGGTGGTGAGCAGACAGATGACACCGAAGATGATGAAACTGTATGCACCGAGGCCCGCCTGAGGGGACGGGGCAGTGAGGGCAGTGAGGGGCAGGGAGGGGCAGAGAGGGGCAGTGAGGGGCAGGGAGGGGCAGTGAGGGCAGGGAGGGGCAGTGAGGGGCAGTGAGGGGCAGTGAGGGGCAGTGAGGGGCAGGGAGGGGCAGTGAGGGCAGTGAGGGGCAGAGAGGTGCAGGGAGGGGCAGGGAGGGGCAGTGAGGGGGAGTGAGGGGCAGTGAGGGGCAGGGAGGGGCAGTGAGGGGCAGGGAGGGGCAGGAAGGGGCAGTGAGGAGCCAAGAGGAGCTGGGAGGGGCAGGAAGGAGCTGGCTGCTGGGCTGGCATCGCTCTTGGGGGATCCTGCAGCATGGGGCCCCAGGTCTCACTCACCTGAATGAACGGGAAGACCAGGCCCACAGCAAAGTTGGAGAGCCAGTGGACGCTGCCCCCCACCATGAAGGCAGCTGGCCGCGAGGTCTGTAGGAAGATCTCCGTGATGAGCAGGGCCGGGATGGGGCCTGGGCGGAAAGAGGGGCAGCTGTCTTCCCTGGCCAGGTCACAGACTCCTTGAGACCTGCATTTGCAGCTGCCTGGCCCCAGGAACCACGAGGAGCCTCCCCTGTGATGTCCCTCACAGCATCCATTGGCCTCTGGCCTGGCCTTCCCTCCCCACCCCCACAGCAGAAAGGGGACGAGGACTGGGTGGGGCGGAGCAGTGCCCCCTCGCGGCCTCTGGGAGGTAGTTGGGCCACGAGCGTGCAGGGCTGGCGTGCGAGAGAGCCGGCTGGCCTACGTACTGGGCCCGATGGCATGTCCTATGACGTAGATGATGACGCAGGCAATGCTGAGGTAAGGCATCCAGGAGACCGTGTCCTGGGGGAGAGGAAGAGGGTTCATATCTGCAGCCTCCACCTGCAGGGCCAGGGCTGGAAGGGGGCCGTGGGTGCAGGTTGGGGCTGGCACGGTGAGGCTGGCACAGGTGAGGCTCCCCCTCACCTGCAGGGCCAGTGCGACTGTGATCACGCAGCAGGCAGCGAAGCAGATGGAGAAGCCGAGGAGGAGGAGCAGTCTTCTCCCCAACAGCTCCACGACAAACACCTGCCAAGGGTAGGGGTTGGGGCAGCTCAGGGGAGCCCCTGGGAGGACCGCCCAGGCCGTACCTGCTGCATGCCAAAGGATGTTGGGGGTGGGGAGGGGAAGGCTGGCTACAGCACTGGGCTACAGGTGCCCACCGTCAGGGACTCCCCATCACTTGGCCCAAACCAGGACGCTGGAGGCCGGGTCCTGCTGCTCCAAGGCCAGACTCAACTTCGAAGTGGTTGGGCCTCCCTAGGAGTCCACCCAGCCCTGGACGCTTCGTATCTGCCAATCAGTGGCCTTGGGGGGCAGAGGGAGCTAGGCGCGCTCAGCCTGGCAGCAAGCGAAGCTTCCCGTGGGGCAGAGCCTCCCTCTTGGGGACACTCACGGTACAGATGGTCATCAGTACGTTTACAGCCCCGGTGCCGACCGTCACGTACTGGACGTCATTGCTCTTCACGCCGGCACTCAGGTAGATCTGGTCTGCGTAGTAGTAAATCTGGAAGGGGATGATGGCAGGCGTGGGCTGAGGACCTGGGGGCGCGTCCTGCCGGACACGGCCCTCTGCCCAAGCCCTGCCCTCCGCCCTGGCCCCTCCTGGTCGCCTTGCCCCCGCTCCGCACCGCATTCACTCCCGACAGCTGCTGGCCGCCCATGAGGGCCACGACGGTGATGAGCTGCCAGCGCAGCGCCCGCGTGCTGCACAGCCGCCGCACCGACACGAAGCCCGCGGCCCGCTCGGCCTCGTCCTCCCGTCGGATCTCTTCCAGCTCCTCGTCCACCTCATCCCAGCCACGCAGCCTCTGCAGGGCTGAGGGGGTGCGAGGCAGGGGATGTAGACAAAGGGTTGCAGCGGGCAGGGACCCCTGATCCCCCATCCCGAGAGGTCCACGTTACCCTTCCTGGCGGCCTCCTGGTTCTTCTTCCCGAGCAGCAGGTACCTGGGGCTCTCGGGGAAGTAGGGCAGGGTGAGGAGCTGCAGTGCCGCGGGGATGCCCGTCAGCCCCAGGAGAATGGGCCAACCTGAAAGCAGTGGGCAGCTGAGGGCCGGGCCACCCGCGTGCCAAGGGACACGTTCTCCCCCCAGCACCCAGAGCAGTGCCTGGGAAAAGTGGACACTCGGTGTACCCCTGCCGGATGCTGACCGCATGTGGACAAGGGGGCAGTCCCACCACGGCCACATGCATGCTGGGTCAAGGGCTGCTGTTTCCGGGCTGACCTCACCACACCCGGGCCTGGGCTACCAGGACCACTTGGACTGCACTGGCTAGCACAACCCCACACATGTGGATCTGTAAGCTGTGGGTATCCACACACTGGGCAGCTTCCAAACGGGCGACCGGGTGCCACCACGGTTAACACAGTGTGGCTTCCTTCTGGGATGCTCACAAGCAGGTACCACCCACCACTACCAAAGGGAGGCAAGGCCAGGAAATGACCATGGTTAGTGGCTTCCTGAGGGGCAGGGCAGGGTGGTGGGCACAGCAGAGGGGCACACAGGGGATCAGGGGCTGCATGGTTCTTTCCAGACCTGGGGAATCATTACAGAGGTGTCTGCTTCCTTCTCTTCTGTTTATTTTAAAATCAGAGTGACAGGGAGGGAGGGAGGGCATGAGAGAGATCTGCCACGTGCTGCTTCATCCCCCAAATGGCTCCAACAGCCACAGCTGGGCTAGACCAAAGCCAGGAACCAGAAATTCCATCCGGCTCGCCCATGTGGGCGGCAGGGGCCCACGCTCTGGGCCATCACCCACTGCTTTCCCACCTGCGTTAGCAGGAGCTGAATCCAAGTGGAGCAGCTGGGACCAGAGCCAGTGTTTCTGAAATGAGATGCCAGCGTCGTGAGTAAAGGCTTAAACTGCGGCATCACACTCGCCCGATGTTTGTTTTTTATGTGAATAGACAAATAATCACATTGTTTGGGCTTTTCCTTTGTTTTTACTGGGAAACATACATACCGTCTATATTTTACCGTGAGAGCAGTGACATGGGGCGGGCATCCAACCTGCTGGTTAGGATGCCTGTGGCTCACATCGGAGCCACAGATCCAATGCAAATAGTAAGAGGCAGTGCTGATGGCTCACACAGCTGGGCTCCTGACATCCAAGTGGGAACCTTGACTCCCAGCTCCAGCTATGGCCCAGCCCTAGCCATCGAAGGCATCTGAGGGGTGAACCAGTTGCTGGGAAGTCTCTCTCAATAAATGGGCAGCTCAGGCCCCTGCAGGAGGGGACAGCACCTGCTTCCCGTGGCTGTGCAGCCGCTGGGCTGCTGGGCACCTGTGAGCGGCACTGGTCCAGGCGCCTTTTGTTGACTCTGCTCAGTACTGCAGTGAGGAGCTACCACATTTGATACAAGCAGACACTCAGGAGGCAGAACTTCGATCCCTTGCCCCAAATCACCCATTGTTGGGAACAAAGATGATATTTGAACCTAGCCAGGTTGCAACCCAGCTACTCTTAACCACGTGGCAGACAGACTTCAATCGGAGTGAAGCCTGAGACCTGCCAGATTCCAACTGCCCAAGAGGCACAAACCAAGCGTTTCTAGCCTCTGTGTCCCGCCCGGCCCACACCCTAGCCACAGCTCTCCTGACTGCAGCCTGTCCCTGCTCCATCAGACACAGATGCCATCCACCAACAAGTTCAACCTCCGCCCTGTCCACCACTTCCAGGCTGGATCGGCACCTCATCAGCCCCCTCTTGCCCTCTTGACCCGACCCTTTGTCAGTGCCCTGCACAGTGGACAGCAGGTGTAGGCCTCTCGGCTTCCACACAGGCCATGGTTGTCTGAGCTTGGGGATCTCTTTGTCCCCCAAACTGAAACTTGTCTGGATGGCTGAGGATTCCCGGTGACCAAATCCAGATATCACTGCTGGTCTGAGCCTTCCTCGGCTTCCCAGCAGCCTTCGACAGGCTGCCCTTCCCTCTGCTTCTTCTGGAACCTTCTCTGACTCCACTCCCTCCCGGCCGTCCTGTTTCCTGAGCACCTTTTGTGTGCCAGGGGTCCCAAAGTGAGGAAAGTCCAGCCCTGCACATGCACACACATCTGGAGGGGAGTCCCCACGCACAGCCCAGCGTGCACACGCAGGGTCGTGGCATTCTGTCTCCTCTGCACAGGTCTGCAGTGCTGGGCCCACTGCCCCGCAGGTCAGCCCCTCTGAAGCCCCTCTTCCATCCCGCTGCTGGGGAGCTCCTTGAGACAAAGCGACCTAGCATGCTCCCTGCCAATGCCAGCTCCCGGGAGGGGGGCTGTGGCGCTCAGCACAGGTGGCCTGGCATGCACAGGGGTGTGTGCACAGAGAGGTGTGGTGGTTACTTCAGAGCTAGGCTCAGGCTGCAGGGTCCACATCCTGCACGGGGACTGGGACGAGTTACCCAGTTTTGCTGAGCCTCAGGATATGCACCTGAAGAACGGGTCCAAACACAGCACACGCCTGGCGGGGCAGTGTGGAGGAGTCTGTAAGTAGAGACAGAAGACCCGGCCCCTCGTCCACAGGAAGGAACGCAGTACAAGTTTGGACAGGTGTGCTGGTCAGCGGGTGACTGGTGTGATTGACTGTATGGAGGTTTGGCCAGGCTGCAGCAATGTGGGTCCTCGTTTCCTGTGCCCCTCCTGTGTGTCCGGCCCAGACAGCCTTACGGAAGGAGGAGTCAGGGGCAGAGACGTTCTCAGCCCACCTCGGTGTGTGTGGTGGGGCAGGCACGTGAACCTGACTCTCACTCCTCCCTTTCTGGCCTATGAAAGAGGACAGTTCCAAGGCCTTGGGCAGAGGGCTGGGCACACTGCAGGCTGTCACTGGCCACAGGCTCCTATAGGACAGCCACAGAACAGGCCAGAGACAAAGGACCCCTGCCAGTCAGTCCACCCTCTCCTGAGGCCACCTCACTCCTCTCCTAAGAGGGACGCTTCAGCACCAGCCTGCTGTGTGCCAAGAGCATGCCTGCCTCGTGGGCCTTGGCCGCAGCGGAGTCCCCAGAACAGCCACTCCACCAGACAGAAGGCCACTTGGGCCCCAAAGGCATCGTGTCCCAGGGGCAGCAAGGGACCAGGCAGAAGTTCCGGTTTCAGGAAGACCGTACTCACCTTTTTGGTTGGCAAGGATACTCCGGAGGCCGAAGAGTTGGGCCACGAGGATGCCGATGGTGATGAAGAGCTGCGGCACCACGCCAAGGGCACCCCTCAGGTTCTTGGGGGCCAGTTCCCCCAGGTACATAGGGACCACGTTGGAAGACACACCTGGTGGAGGTGAAGGAAGAGGCGCACTCAGGCTGAGGGAGCCCGGCAGGGACAAGCCGCCTCGCCCAGTGCCCACCCTCCTGAGCAAGCCGCTAGACGACCAACACCCTTGGAGCTCCAGTTCCTCCCAGTTCCACGAGGGGCAAGCAGTGAGGACAGGAAGGCCCCACCAGGGCCCACACCTCACTCCCTCTTGCTGCCCAGGGCCAATCAGGACCCCTGCCAGCCAGCTTTGCAATGGAAGCACAGAAGTGATGTGATGAACTGATGCAGGAGACCGTCAGATGAAACGCAGCTGGAGTGAGATTCACCACCGAGCGCTGGCCTTACTCGCCCCACGCGGAAGGATTGCACTTCCACTTGGCTCCGAGCGATGGCCGACAGGGACTCAACTCCCAAAGCCTGTATATATACCCATCACACTGGAACTGACTGAGAATCGGGGGGACTGCAGCCGACAGGCCTCCGAGGGATCTCCTGTGGACCAGCATTGCTCCACCGGACTCTCCTTAAAGCACCGGAGGCAGGGGCCTTATGGGTTGTTATTAGTCTGAACATCATACACCTGTTCCAGGGTTGAGCTGAGCCCCACAAAGGGAGGTCGGCCTCACCGGGGAATGCCGGGGAAGCTGAGTCTGTGGCAGGCACAGGTCAGAGCTGCTGCTAACAGGAGGCATCGGCCGAGCTTGCTGTGTGGCAGTGGTTTCTGGCTATCTCTGCTCGGTATTTAAGAGACACTGCACGCCCCCAATGCCAAGGCCTTTCTGTCTGCTATCTTTATGGCAGCCCTCTGTGTGTCTCGGCCAGGGACAACGTCCCCCAAGGCCAGAGGCTGCAGGGGGAGGGGAAGTCCTTCCAGAATTTGGGGCCTGGAAGTGCCAGCTCAGACCTCAGCATATCATAACAGGGGGACAACGACCACCTCAAAATGGCAAGGCCATTTTTCTTTTTTCTTTTTTTTTCTTTTTTTTTTTTTTTTTTAGCATAAAGACTGTCTATTTATTTGAAAGGGTCGGGGAGAGATCTTTCCTCTCTTGGCTTATTCCCTAAATGTCTGCAAGAGCTGTGGCTGGGCCAGGCTGATGCCAAGAGCCTGGAACCCTACCAGGTCCCCTAAGCGGGCAGTTAGGGACCTGAGTCCTTGCTGCCTCCTGGGATGGGTAGGAAGCAGGGCAGCAGGACCCTGAACCCAGGCTCTGTGGTGTCGGATGCGGGCACCCAAGCAGCCGCCACCCTGCTTCACCGACATTGGCCCCTGACCACTGCTGCTGTCTGACGGTGGGAAGAGCTGTCACTCCCAGCTCGTCTCATACAGGACATTGTTCCGGAGCTTTCCGATCCGCTTGCTTCTCCAATACATATACAGATAAGCAAGACACAAAAGATTCCCGGGACAGCACTTACTGCACAGGATACAGTCTATTCCATTTTAAAAAAGGAAATACTCCTCAGTAAATTGGTGTCGCCCCGTCCTAGCTGATATCTACAGCTTATGAAACACTGAGATAAACAATGGGACTGGAGGGGACAGTATTGCAGTGTTAGTATTACAGTATTGCACGGCTGCTCCATTTCCAATCCAGCTCTCTGATAAGGCATCTGGAAAAGCAGAGAAAGATGGCCCAAGTGCTAGGTACTCTGCCACCATGTGGGAGACCCAGGTGAAGCTCCTTGCTCCTGGCTTCGACCTGGTCCAGCCCCAGTTGTTGTAGCCACATGGGGAGTAAACCAGCAGATGGAAATCTCTCTGTAACTTTGTCTTTCAAATAAATAAATCTGGGCCTGGCACGGTAACCTAGCGGCTTAAGTTGTTGCCTTGCACATGTCTGGATCCCATATGGGTGCTGGTTTGTGTCCCGGCAGCCCTGCTTCCCATCCAGCTCCTTGCTTGTGCCCTGGGAAAGCAGTTGCGGATGGCCCAAAGCCTTGGAACCCTGTACCTGTATGGGAGACCCGGAAGAAGCTCCTGGTTCCTGGCTTCAGATCTGCTCAAATCTGGCTGTTGTGACTGCTTGGGGAATGAATCAGCAGATGGAAGATCTTCCTCTCTGCCTCTCCTCTTCTCTGTATATCTGACTTTCCAATGAAAATAAATTTTAAAATCTTTAAAATAAATAAATCAATATTTAATAAGGAAAGATGTACTATTTTTAAAAAGAGATGAGAGTCACCGTTTGGTGCTGTCCATACCCCAGCTCCTAGGGCCTGGGTTTGAATCTTGGCTCTTCATCCAAGCTTCCTGTTAACACACCTGATGCATGCGATTGGGTCCCTCCCCCAGACTGCAGGATCCTGACCTCAGTGTGGCCTGGTCCTGGCTGGGTGAGCATCTGGGGAGTGAGCCAGTGGTTAGGAGATTGCTTTGTGAGTCAGTGTCTCTGCCTTTCAGGTGAAGGAAGAGAAGGAGGAGATAGGAAAAGGGGGAGCAGAGGAGGAGAAAGCCGTCTGGATTTAATAGGAAGAACTCTGCGCAACTTGAACCTGTGTATCAGTGTTTAAAGAGCAGCTTCCGGTGCAGGAGACCCCGCAGGGAAGTGGAGTCAGTCACGTGGGCGCCCAGACATGCTGCCCAGGGCACATCTTTGTGCATTGGAGACCGCGGACGGGTGCAGGCCCGGGTCTGCCTCCTCCTTGCAGGTCCTCAACCCCCGGGCACTGGAGAGCCCTGCCTTGCTCACCTGCACAGATGCCCACCAGCAGCCTGGAGACAATGATAAGCTCAAAGGACTTGGCGATCTCGCTGCACCCCATCAAGACGGCGGGCACCACGGAGAAGATGTTGTTGAACAGGAGTGCTCCTTTTCTGCACGGAACAGAGCAGCTGCAGTTGGGCTGGCTGAAGGGGTCATGGTCACCAAATGTCCCCCGCCCCCAGGATCAAGACTGACGCGTGCTCCGCTTCCCGGGACCTGAGAACACCATGGTCAAGGGCACAGCCTGGGGCAGCTACGTTCTGCATGGGAGCCAACAGCAACGATGATCAGCTAGTGTAATCTTGAAACCCAAACTGGGTGAGGAAGTTGGACAAAAAGGACTAGGCTGACCTCGCCTACATGGATGTAGATGCCCAGTCCTAAAGGAAGCATTGCCAGGTTGAATTCAGTGACACGTGTGCAAATCTTTCCGTGCAGCTCATTTTAAAGACTGTGCTGGGGAGATACATGACTATTTCAGGAGAAGCAGCAAAGAGATTTTGACACCATTACAACTTTTTCTTTTTTTTTTTTCCGTTTCAACCATTATGACCTTTAAATGCTTGCATTAACAAAAAGTTAAGTAGAAATACTCGTTCAAGTAGATAAAGGCAATCTGAGTTACGCTGGGAAGAATCTTCCCATCTAAGTCAGGGCCAAGCCCAGGGGAAGACTCGGGCCCTGGAGATCCTGGCAGAAGCCAAGCATGCGTCTCGTGGAGGGGACCTCACTGTGACGCCACCAATGGCCCCACTCGTGACCCAGTCCCTCAACATGGACCCAGGCCTGACCGCTTAGAAAATGAAAATCACGGAAATGGTCACTACCCTGGTCTTGTGGTAAGGATTTCAGTTGCAGGCCTACATTTCACAGGTGTTTGGCCCGGCGGTGAAGATGGCGGCGGCCCATTTTAGAGGACCTGGGTTCAATGCCTGGTTCAGGCTCCCGACTCCAGCTTCCTGCTAATGTGGACCCTGGGAGGCATCAGTGGCAGTTCAAGTGCATGGGTCCTTGCCACCTCTGGGAGAAGCGCTGGATCGAGACCCTGCCTACTGGCTTGGGCATGGCCCAGCTGAGGGAGCCTAGCGATGGGTCCCCATCTCCCCTCACCTGCCAAATCTGTTCACCAAGGGGCCGACCAGAAGGGATCCGATGAAACCTCCGAAGGGGAACATGGACACGGTCACGGACCACAGCAAGGTCAGGGGGAATTCATCGATGAGCTCGCCGGTTCGGTCATAGTAGGTGTCATTGTAGAACTGCCTCATGAGCTGGGGCATGCAACAGAAGAACAGGGTGAGCCAGCTTGGCACATGCTTGGGCCGAAGTCGCTACGGCCCGCCCAGCCCACCCCCAACCCTAGGAGGGCCCTGTCAGGGCAGAGAGTGTTGGGCCCAAGTGAGTGGTAGGTGTTAGGAGGCCTCGGGCAGGCCTCAGCCACAGGGGACACCCCCTGCTCCTCACTGTTGGTGCTCTCTGCCCCGTTAGGCCGTGGGAGCCCCAGGCAGCTCCTGGAGCCAGCCCATTAAGCACACAGCAGGGCCAGGCTCTCCCATGCCCCAGGTGGCAAGCAGCACCTGGGGGACCTGGCTCATCCCCAAGGGTCTGTGCCACGCCCCGAGGGTGCAGCCTGAGGCCCCCGCGGAGTGCCCAGCCCCACCTGGACCTGCTCTCAGCCCACTCCCTGCTGATCGGGGACTCGGAGACAAACCTCGGCAGGGGAGTTGACCACAGACACATTGTACCCATACTGGAAGGAGGACCCGAAGGCAGAGATCAGGGTGGCCAAGGCCAGCACAAGCGTCAGCCTCTGTGGGAGGGAGGGGGAGAATGAGCAGGGGGTTGGGGAGGAAGAGAGCAAAGAATGGGGTTGGGGAAGAGGGGGTTAAGTCAGGATACAATGGCTCCTGGGCTGGAGGGCCCTGGCTTTGCTTCTCCTAGAAATGCAGCACAGTCCAGTGCAGTGGCTTAGCATATTCTTCCACCTGCAGCGCTGGGATACCATATGGGCACTGGTTTGAGTCCCGGCTGTTCCATTCCGATCCAACGCCCTGCCTATGGCCTAGGAAAGCAGCAGAGGATGTGTACCCACATGGAAGACCTGGAGGAAGCTCCTGGCTCCTGGCTTCGGCTTGGTTCAACTCTGGCCATTGCGGCCATTTGGGGAATGAACCAGCAGATGGAGGATCTCCGTTTCTCCTCTCTGTAAATCTGCCTTTCCGATAAAACTAAATAAATCTTTAAAGAACAAACAAACAAACAGAAAAGAAGGCGCTGTAACAGCAATCCTCCAGCCCCTCTCACCTGCCTTAGGGTAGGGTTAGAAGCGGCTTTCTCCGCTGTGACTCTCTTGGCCTCCAGAGCTGCCTCGGTCTTGGCTGTGGGGGTCAGGCTGTGAATGCCCAGAGGGTCCCAGCAGGCCCGGCCTCTGTTCCCCTAGATATGGCTGCAAGTCCCACCCCACCTGCTCCTCGTGGAAGACTGTTCCACCAGCCCCAGTGGATTCCTGACCCTCCCCCGAGGGGCTGCGTGTGCCGGCCACCAGCCAGAGCACATGCACCCAGGCACCATCTCAATAAAAAATGCCACACACAAAAAAAGTGAAAATGATGGGGCTGGCATTGGGTGTTGTGGCAGAGCTGCCTCCCGCTGTAGCCTGCTCCCAAGTGGGTGTGGGTTGGTGTCCCGGCTGCTCCACCTCTGATCCAGCTCCGTGCTTACGGCCTGGGAAAGCAGCGGAGGACGGCCCAAGGGTTTGAGCCCCTGCACCCACGTGGAAGACTCGGATGAAGCTCCTAGTTCCTGGCTGCTGCAGTCATCTGCAGAATAAACCAACTGCCGGAAGACCTCTCAGTCTCTCCCTCTGTCTCTATGATTTTTAGATTAAAAACTTCTTGATTGTGAAAATGTTTCGTTATTTGGTATCACTGGTGGACCTTCCCTAGCCCTGTGCTTTTGCTGCCAGAAGAAGGCCCAGGGATGAAATATTTAAATACAGACGTCGCATGTCCTGTGACACGACCGCCCTTTGGCGTGTGGAGTGCCTCAGTGACAAGTCACGCAGACCTCCTGCGGCAGGTGTATGCACTGCTCCCAGCTACCTTCCTGCTTTCTCCAGCATCAGGGCAGGGACACCCAAGAGCCTCCGCAGGGCTCATGGTCACCACATCTGGCCTACAGTGCAGTCGGCTGCCGGAGGGCCTGGGATGCCAACCACAGAAGCTTGCATGCCAGCACCTGCCTCATCTACAAGGTCACGGTCGTCTTTCACATGTGGCATGTTCTCGCTCACCCCTGCCAGCACCCTTGGGCTAGCGGAGATTTTTAGGGCTTCCTGACTCAAACAGGATCTCCAGAGAGAGCGACGTGAGGCAGCTGGGCAGTGGGAGACACAGCAGCGTCCTTGCCCAGCCCTGGGGCCCACAGAGCTGCGCCTGGAAAGAGCCCTCCAGAGGGCTGACTGCACTGCGCGCTGCTCACACACACACACGCACGCACACACACACACACACGTGCGCGCGGACACTGAATCCCCAACTTATGCACACACATACTCACTGTACACACACAGACACGTGTATACACGGCACCTTTGACTACACATACACACTGCTCACACACATTCACTTACATGTGCACACACTGTGTCCCCACCTGTGCACACACACCATTAGGAGGTGATGGTATCAGCCAGCTTGACTGCAGCCACCATTTCACGACATGTGCATCTATTAAAACGTCATGCTTGGGTCATAAAAACACGATTTTTACATCTCAATGACATCTCAATGAAGCTGCTAAGGGGGGGAAATTGGGTCAGCATTGTGGCATCATGGGTTCAGCTGGTGCATGTGTGTCCCATCCCACACTGGAGAGCTGGTTCGAGTTCCAGATGCTTCATTTCTGGCCCAGGTCCCTGCTAACACTCCTGGAAAAAGCAGCTGATGAGGGCCGAAGTGCCTGGGCCCCTGCCAGTCGTGTGGGAAACCAGGACAGAGCTCCTGGCTTCAGCTTGGCACAGCCCTGGCTGCTGCGGGCATTTGGACAGTGAACGAGGGCTTGGGAGATTTCTCTCTCTTTCAAATAATAAAAGTCTTGAACAAACAAACAGCAGTAGTCTAATGAAAGAAGGTGCTCACAGAGGCCACAAGTTGTCTGCCAGTGTCAAGTGTCCAGATTAGGCAACTCCGTGGAGACAGAGGAGCCTGGGGTCAGAGGACAAGGTACTGCCCACAGATCCTAACGGGACAAGGTTTCTCTGGGGGATTGATGAAAATGCCCTAAATCGGCTGCTCAGCTCTGTGCTGACGTGTTTAAGTGTTTTACAAATTTGCTAAGGACCAAAGATAGCATGCGCACCTGCTCCCCACCTCACAATGCTTTTAGGTTCTGACGTCACTGATCTTGGACCTTTCCTGGGCCGGCGGACTGCTGCGCGACATCTCCCAGCGTGCTGCGCAGCAGCCATGGACGACGCTCGGTGGGCCTCCCGCACCGTGGTGCACTAAGGCAGGATGCATGGGCAGTTAGGTGTCCTGGACACATTTTCAATTTAGGATGTGTTTACGAGGCTGTAACCTCACAGGCAGCCCCGCGGCACCTGTGTGCAAGGTGTGCAGAGGAGTGTGCTTGCCAGTGCTGCTCCACCCAGTGCCTTTGTGTGCAGGTGTATTGCAAGCCCCTCAGTCTATAATGCAGCACTCCTAGCCGCAGGTCCTGCGCTGTACCCTTCACCTGCAGACCGTGAGCATCCTGCTTAATGGAGGCTCTGCCCACCTCTGACCAGCACCTGCAGCCCTGGCACCCAGCACCCCTGGCCCACCCACAGCCCCCGGCACCCAGCACCCCTGACCTACCCATAGCCCCCGGCATCTAGCACCCCTGACCAGCACCTGCAGCCAGCCCCTGGCATCCAGCACCCCTGACCAGCACCTGCAGCCCCCGGCACCCAGCACCCCTGACCCACCCGCAGCCCCTGGCACCCAGCACCCCTGACCAGCACCTGCAGCCAGCCCACGGCATCCAGCACCCCTGACCAGCACCTGCATTCCCCAGCGTCCAGCACCCCTGACCCACCCGCAGCCCCCGGCTTCCAGCACCCCTAAATCACCTGCAGCCCTGGCACCCAGCACCCCTGACCAGCACCTGCAGCCCCCGGCGTCCAGCACCCCTGACCCACCCGCAGCCCCTGGCACCCAGCACCCCTGACCAGCACCTGCAGCCAGCCCATGGCACCTAGCACCCCTGACCAGCACCTGCAGCCCCTGGCACCCCTGACCCACCCGCAGCCCCCGGCACCCAGCACCCCTGACCTACCCGCAGCCCTGGCACCCAGCACCCTTGACCAGCACCCGCAGCCCCTGGCACCCAGCACCCCTGACCCACCCGCAGCCCTGGCACCCAGCACCCCTGACCAGCACCCGCAGCCCCCGGCGTCCAGCATCCCTGACGAGCTCCCGCAGCCCCGGCACCCAGCACCCCTGACCTACCCATAGCCCCCGGCACCCAGCACCCCTGACCTACCCATAGCCCCCGGCATCCAGCACCCCTGACCAGCACCTGCAGCCCCCGGCATCCAGCACCCCTGACCCACCCGCAGCCCCCGGCATCCAGCACCCATGACCCACCTGCAGCCCCTGGCACCCAGCACCCCTGACCAGCACCTGCAGCCCCCAGCCCCCAGCACCCCTGACCCACCCGCAGCCCACGGCACCCAGCACCCCTGACCCACCTGCAGCCCCCAGCACCCAGCACTCCTGATTCACCTGCAGCCCCCGGGCACCCAGCACCCCTGACCAGCACCTGCAGCCCACGGCACCCAGCACCCCTGACCCACCCGCAGCCCCGGCACTCCTGACCCACCCACAGCCCCCGGGCACCCAGCACCCCGACCGTGAGCTCTGCCTTTTCAGCTTCCAGGTGCAGCTGAGCTGCGGCAGGATGTGGTTCCTGCACCTGGCTCATGTTCCTTAGGTTCATCCATGTTACACAAACCACGAGGGCTCCTTCTATTTCAAGCGTGATGGCTCACACGCTGTAAGTTGAGCTGAGACTACATGGTGTGTGTTATCTTCTCAATGAACAATCTTGTAAGAGGCACACAAAAAGACGAGGACGCCAGTTCTCTTCCTGCCTTCTTCCCTCCTACACCCCCTCCCTCTTTCTTCCTAGTCTTAAATTTCTAGGAGGAGAAAAAGGGAGGGGGGATGGGAAGTGGGTTTGCTGCTGGGCTGGGTTAGGGTATGAGGGAGAGGAATGGGCTGAAGACAAGGTGCAGCTCTCTGACCAGGCTGCTGAGAAGCCCTTGGAGCAGCGAGCCGCGGCCAGGAGTGGACTCGGCTCAGGGGCCCAGGGCGCTGCCCTCATCGTGGGTGGCAGTTTTCAGAGAAGCCAGACATCACATCCCTCCGACCCTCTGGGAACTGCCTTCCTCCTGCAGGTGTTTGAATGTTGCTTGTTATTTGAAAGGCAAAGCAAGAGAAAGAGAGATCCTTCATCCATAGATTCACTTGCACAATGGCCAGGACAGAGCCAGGCCAAAGTCAGGAGCCGGCCTTCCATCGTGGCCTCCCGCACGGGTGGCAGAGGCCCTGGGGCCCCACCTGCTGCCTCCCAAGGTGCCCATTTAGCAGGAAGCTGGACCGGAAGCAGAGAAGCTGGGATGCTAACCGGGCACATGGGATGCAGACGCCCCGGGGGCTGGCTTCACCCGCAGCACTAGGCTTCTTGTTTTTCCTATTTGGAGGAGAGCATTTCAAGACTTCGGCGGAACAGCCGCTCTCGCTGCTGAGCCTGGGTGTGGCTCAGGGACACAGGAAAGAGGCCCCACCCAAACCATCTCCCCAAGACACCTGGTCAGCTGGCTGACGCAGAGGCCAGCTCATCCATGGACTCCCATGAGGGCCTGAGGACTTCAGCCGGGAAGCTCCCTATCCCTGAAACTAAGCTCACCCACCGAGTGGTGCAGGCACTGCAGGACAATCAATTCTTAATGTTTAATGCATATCTTTTTTTTTTTTTTGGACTTCATCCAATAATTCTTCTGCATCAAATACGTTGCTGTGTTTTTTTTTTTTTTTTCCCCTAACCCACATCATCTTTTTCTTTCAGACACTGAGTTCTGGGTGCACATCCCATAGACACTGCAAGAACAAAGGCCAGCAAAGGCCATTGGCCACCGTGGGCAGGCCTGGACCTGACCCACCACCCAGTACCCTTGCCTGCAGTGCCCCCGGACTCTGGAGCCCCACCTCGACCCCCCGTTTTCCTTGGCCCCTAAATCCTCCATGGCTCCTCACAGGAGTCTCCCAGGTTGTCATAAATTACTTGGGCTGTTCTACGGAGCCTTCTGCTTGGTGCCGCCTATGCTCTGGCTTTCTTCCCAAAGGTAGGTTGACCCATCTCTGCTTTGAGCCGACCTGGGTTGCCAGTGGGAGGCCTCCCGCCCCAGGCTGGGCTGGCATCAGTCCTTGGCCTCCTTGTGCAGCTCAATCACCACACAAGGCTTCTCCCACGCACGGTTCAGCCCTGGGTGGGGTGGGGAGCAGAGGGGGACATTTCCCTTCCTTTCTGACGCCAAACCTAGGGGACACTTCAGGCCTCCTGTGGTCCCCCAAACAACCAAGTCCTCATGAGCCCCGTTGCTTTTCTGTCAAACAGAAGTGACGGCGCTTGACTTGTCTAACAGTTTCTCACTTGTGAAAAGCAAGGGAGATGACCCCAGGGAAGATGCTTAGTAACTTCAAAAGCAGCGATGCTCCACTGGGGCCTTCTTGAAGAATCTGTCACACCTGGGGGAATGGGGCTACTGGTGTGGGCTCAGGTTGCTGAACACATCACACACACATAACAAAGAGTTATCCAGTGCCAAGAGTCCAGAGCACCGAGGCGGAAAAACCCAACCATCAGGGTGGGTGGGGGGAGAAGGCACTGCATGCCAGGTGCGCCACATGTATGGTCTTACTGCTCTTAATCCTCTGAGCTGGTTTGGCTGCTATTCCCATTCACAGATGGAGACACCCAGCGCTCAAAGTTAGGATGGAGCAGGAGTGACCCTCCTAGGTCTTCACCACCCAAATCGATGCCTCACCTTGGGGCTGGCAGGGCCAGTGTCCAGCATATCTATGGTAAACATGGCCCGTCCCTGCCTGAATCAAAGTTGTTTTGCACATGAACTACCCTTCCCCATTACAAACAGAAGCTGAAGGTGCCGTTATGAATGAAACACAAATCCCCTCCAAGGGTTAGCCCCAGGTGTCCCCGCCTGTCCTTGTGTATGTTCCTGAATCAAGGCGCTCTCACAGTAGACTACGATTGCATGGGAGGGGTGGTGGGAGGGCACAGAAACCTTTTTCTCTAAAAGGCAGGGACCTCAGCGACAGCTTCGAGCTCAATTCAAATCTGACGCCTTCTGCGGGATTCTCCTCTTTCCCTCCAAACTGCTAGGTTATCTGCCTGGAATGCTCGTTAAAATGTAACTGAGACCCAAGGGAAACAGCCCAACATCTCCCCAAGGACTTGGAAGGGTTCTGTGAGCTGTGCCTTGGCTCCTGGAACGGCTCTGCCCCCCGTGCAAGCACTGGGGTACCAAGCCCTCCTCCAGGTCTCTGCTTTGGCTGTGGGTCTGTCTTCCCTCGGGGAGCACTGATGGGAGAGCACCCCTGCTGGCCCCCTCCAAGGGGCCCCCACCCCTCGGAGTCCCAGAGTTGCTGACCAGGAGCTGCAGCCACTCACCCCTTCTCTCTTCTTCTTGGGGCCCTCTTGCTCCATCTCTGCTCTGGAAGAGCCGCAGGCTTGCCCACCTCCTCCAAGTGACACATGCGCTGCCAGGTGAGAGAAAGCGAGCTGGCTGCACTTTGGCCGTGCCAAGGAGCAACCAATAGCGTTTTTACTGCCAACCCCAGTCAGAATAACCCTTTCAGGAACCTGGGGCGGAGAGGGTGGGGGACCCGGGTGGGGGCGTTGGGCCTCTTCTCACTTTTGCTTTGAAATGCAGTGTCTGGGTTTGGCTCAGAGAGCCGGTGTCACCTGATGGTGGGCAGTCTGTGGCACCTCTTTCCGGTTCACAGCCTCCACCGGTCAGCGGTCAGCTTCGTGGGGAGGGACTGGAAGGGCTGTTTCTGGAAGGAACACAGGGAAGGCACCAGCTGTCGTCTCTCATCCGCACCACAAAAGCTCGTGAAAGCCTACTACACGCGATCCCCGCCCGGAAGCCTGCAGCCAGCCGTGCCTGCCTAATGCGGATTTCACTTCCCTTTTAAAGGAGCTGGTCTTTCCTGCGCATTTATCGCTGCTGAACCCCTCTGTGGCCAGAGCAAGGAAAGCAAGTCCCAGCTGCTGGCCCAGGTCTGGTCACTGCCTGCCCCAGGGTGGTCAGCACACACTCAGCCAGCACTGGGCATGAAGTCCAAACGGCCAAAATCCAAAGCCCATCAGCCCTGCAGCGTTTCACCTTCCAGGGGACAAACTCCTGGCTTTATTGGCCATGGCACAAAGCCACTGAACTTACCCTTTTCATCCTCTGGTTCATCTTCTGAACAGTTCCTGGGAACCCATGAGGTGCTGGGCACCGTCTCTGGCATTTGCAGCAAGGTGAGCAGGGCTCCTTGGCATGGGTGACATGAAGGGGCGTGTGTGCGTGTGCGTGTGCGTGTGTGTTCGCGTGTGTGTCGAGGTTCCCCACGGAGGCACTGGGCGTTTCCTCTCACCAATTTCACTTACCTTCTCGTCCTTTCTGTGTCGCAGGCATGGCAAGAGCGGAAGGTTCCAGTTATTTTCAAAGAGCGGAAAGCTTCTCCAAAGACAATGCACTTTCATTGGGGAGAGGTAAACAGCGACCACTGGGGACTGAAGGCGGCGCCATCCAACCAGACATGGCGGAGTTAGCTATCGTCGTCCCGCCTAGCGGGGACGTCAGGGGACCGGCTTCTGCGCGCGGAGGGGACCGAACCCTGCGGGGAGTGGCTGAGGCCGCCCCAGCTGCGGCGGGGAAGGGGCGGTGGTGCAGCCCGCAGCCCACAAGCGATCATTCATCCGCGGAGTCGAGGGCCGCCGTACCTGCTTTCTGCGGTTTGCGGGGCGTTGCGGGCACCACGCGGGGTCACCAACGCTCGCCTGTGGCTCTCAGGGCAGCCTGGGTGCACGCGGGGCAGGAGGGGGAGAGCAGGGCGTGGAGGCCGCCAGGGCCTGGGAAGGCCGAGGGGCTGCGGGCAGGGCCGTGCTGGGCCGTGCTGGGCCGTGCTGGGCCGCCGAGGAGACCGCTGCCACAAGGCCTCCGAGACAAGGCCTGAATTGAGGCTTGAGGGAGGCCGCCAGGGTGTGGGGTGGGCCAGCCTGGGGCGCTGTGGAGAGTGAAGCTACAAAGCCAGCATGGTACCATCCGGCGGGGCAATGAGGGAGGCTGCTGGAAGGCAGTGGCAACTGGGAGGCCACCAGGGTGCGGGGCTATGGAGCTATGGCCCTCGCCCCCGTGTGGGTGGCAGCATGCAGCTGGCTCCCAGTCCATTTGGCTCCTACGCGCTGGGTCTGGGGACCCTGGGACTGGCCCTCTCTGGTCCTCTGGACCTCACTCACTTGAGTCCTCCGTGGCCACCATTAGGCCAGTTGAGGCGTTGACCAGACTCCTGGCCTCAGGCTGGCCTCAGGGGGCGGCCTGAACTCGCCCACGGCAGGTGGACTCTTTCGTTTGCAGTCTCCAGTGTTTGTTCCAGAGGGAACGGTGACCATGGGCAGGCTGGCTGCTGGGCCTGCCCCTGACACCGTGTTGGTTGGGGCTGTTTTCTCTTTGCAGTTGACAGCCACCATAACGAGCAGCACTGGTTATTAACCAAAGGCCTTTTGGCCATTTGCAGATAGCAGGCTGGGGCGTGTCTGAGGAACGTGTACTAATATTTTCAAGGAACTGATCTGTGAGCTGAATGGGGCATCTGATAAAAAGCCCAAGAAAAACTTTTAAAGGGAAAGCGGATCATCAGGCCATCCCTGGTGCTGGCTCCCGACCACCTGCCCCAACTTTCTTGTTGTGTAGATTTGATTCATCATGGGGAGATTGTATTAGGGTTTTTGCACTGATGGGAAGGTTCCAAAGAGAGCCAATCCCCCCCCCCCCTTTTTCCTCTCTAGTCTCTCTCTTTTTAAAAAATTTATTTTTGATATTATTTATAGTTGAGAGGGATGGGGTCAGGTATGGAGAAAGGTAGGGAAGACACATGTTCTAATTTTTTTTCCTCCTGTGTCCATAGGGGAGGAAGGGGGAGAGGGCCGCTCCTTGCTGTTATACCACATCAACACCTGGGGATGGGGATGGTCCTTTGATGACGCCTCAGAGACCCTGATGTGGGGAAGAGCGTTCCAAGGGTGCTACTTGGGTGGTTTTGAAAGTTCTGAGAAGTTGTTGCTTTCATTGCTCTAGGGTTGATAAAATCTTTCCAAGGTCTACTGGTTGACAAAGTCCACTTTAGTACACAGAGCCAGGAACATGCTGCTGGCTTGGCCAGGAGAATTGTTCAGCCTGTTCTGCTTTCCATCCTCTGATAAGGCGGTTTACATCCCCTGTCCAGCCTTGTCTCCCGTGTGCACTGGACATGCTGTCCACTGCCAGGCATCAATCTCCTACAAGGTGCAGTCCCAATAGATGCACCCCAAGACTGACCACACATCCTGTGATTTTCCCCTGTGGCCAGGGTCTGAGTCCAGCAGCCTAGCTGGGAGTCCACCAAGAAACCTCACCTGGGGTTTCTCAAACTTGACTCTTGCGTGTGCCAGTTTGTGTAGGAAAGGTGTGGTCTGTCGGCTGCACCAGCCAACGCGCACACTGCTGGATGCAGCTGTCTGGACAGTTTCACTTCAGCTCCGTATCTCACATAAGCCAGTGGGCGCTGCAGTCCAGGCCAGAAATCCTGCCACAAACCTGGTCCTCACACATACCAGCAGGTGCCACGGTCTAGTTGTGGCGGTCCCCAATAACCCTTGCCAGGTCCAGTTTTGTGTGTGAGCATCTGCTGCGGCCTAGCCCAGCTCAGCCCTGCAGCTTAGCTCAGCCTGACCAACCCCCAGACCCGGCCCTCACATATTTTGACAGCTATCAGCCGCTTTGTCCAGTCTGGTCTGCCCCCAGCCCTGGCTCCTGTGCTTACCAGTGGTAGGTACAGCTTGGCAAGAAAGTACCCACAGTTCTGCCAGGCATGTTCCCAGCCCTGGATCTTGCACCCACCAGGAAAATATGGCAGTCTAGCCTGAAATAACTTGCACCCAGTCCCAACACCTGCCAGCTGGTGCTGCAGCCTAATCCAGCTAGCCCATAGCCATTCTGGCTCTCATGTGTACCAATGGGTACAGCAGCCTAGGCTGTAATGCTAACCAGTTTACATTAGGGCCAGGACTGGGGGCTGACTGGGCTGGGCTAGGTTGTCATATCCACCAGCATGAGCAGGAATTGAAGGCAAGTCAAGCTGCAACACCCTCCAGTAAACGCTGAGGTGAGGTGGCCCATGCCGGACTGTACCACAACATCCACCAGCACAGTAAGACCCTGGGTGGGGAGAGGGTCGCAAGCTTAGTTGAGGGGGAAGCAGGAGCTCCCCTGCTGGGACATTGCTCCTGCTGGTGAGCGTGAGAGCTGGGACTGGGGGCAGACCAGGCTGGGCATGGCTACAACAGCAGTAGGCTACGTGTGAACTGGGTTAGGGGGAGAGCCAGGCTGGGCTAAGCAACCATACCCACTGGTGTATACACGCGCCAGAGTATGTGCAGGCTAGTTGGGCTTTGCCACAGAAAATGCTGGGAATGGGGGCAGGGACTATCAAGCTAGACTGCAGAACCACTTAGAAAGTGCAAGATCTGGGGCTAGGAGTGGGCCCAGTGGGGCAACTGTGGGCACCTCTCTATGGGCTGCAACTCCCAGTGGTGAACATGAGAACCAGGGCTTGGAGCAGGCTTGGCTGGACAGGTAGTAGCACCCGTCAGCTTAAGTGTGGGCTGAATGGTAAGGTGGGTTGCAGCACCCATTGGTGTACACAAAAGCCAAATGGGAAGCGGTACCAACTGGATTAGTCTGCTGCCCATAGTGGCAAGCACAGGAACCAGGGCTCGGGATGGACCTAGAGGGAATTCTTGGGGGTTGCTTTGACTAGGCTGCAGCTCCTTCTGGTGTGAGGGCTGAGTGTGTGGTGGGCAGGGTTGGCTGGGCTGCAGCATCCATTGGTCTGCACTGATGTGGCTGGAGACGGAACTGACCCAACAACTGCATCCACCAGTGTGGGTATAGGCTGATGTGGGTGACTGGCAGAGCTGGACCCCACACTGGCTGGTATACACTGAAGTCAGGTTGGGGTCATCTCTGGCAAGGTTCCTTTGGGGATCCCACTGGCCTCAGAACTCCAACCGTGGGGAGAATCACAGGATCTGAGATCTGATTGTGGAGTACACGTGTCAGAACTAGGCCCCCTCAGTTGCTGCAGCTGAGGCAGTGGATGACACGCCCAGTGCACATGGGGGGTGTGGCAGTTCATGGGGGCCTGCAGAGGACACCAACTACCATGGCATAGGACACAGGGGAGAATGCACTGGACAGCTCTCCCAGCCAAGCATTGACAGCAAGTATCTGGGTGAGTAAAGACTCTAAGGTGGACTGTGGCAGCCAGTGCACCTCGGAAAGATTTCCTCATCCTTGGAGCGACAAAATCAACAATCAGAAACTACAAAAATGACTTACGCAGTACCCTCGGAACACACTCCACATCGGGGACCCTGGGTGGCCGTCCCCCACCCTG